TATTCCTATATGTAGTGTATTCTACATTTATCCATTGCTACCTCTCACTCACCCTTCATCATATCCACTCTGGCTTTCTGCTCCTACCACCTAGTGCCACTAAGACCTCCATGTGGCTAGGACAAGACACTTTCTTCGATTCTCACCTAACTTACTTCCAGCAATACCTGACAACAATCCCTTGCTTTCCTTGGGACACTCTCCTCCTAAGCTACGGTGACCCCATACTTTGCTTCATGTTGTGGCTCATTTTTCTTGAGCTACAATCTTCTTTGTACCATCAGTTTTCTTTACCTGCTCTTTTAATTCATAGAGTTCCTTAGGGCTTAGTTCCTGGCCACCAAACTTTTCTCTCTTTGTTTTTTTCCACTGGCTAGCTTCAATTACAAACTTATACTCTAGGCAAAAAGTCTCTACTCGCCACATACACTTCCAGACTATCTACTCAAAACAGCAACTCAGATGCCTTAATGACACCTCAAAGTTAATATGCCTAGAACCAGATTCATGATCACTTCATCCAACCTGTTTAATCCTCTGATTCTATAAATGGCACTATTCTCAATCAAATCCTCAAGAGGCAGCCTCTTGTTCTCATCATCTCATCAACTACCAAGACTTTTTTATTCTACCATATAATATATTCCAAATCCATCCACTTCTTATTTCTACTGCTACCATTCTATTATGCATCTTGCCTTTGGTGGTACCAAACTCTCGCCAATTTACTTCTTCAGTACATCTATACTTGACCTCCCTATGGATTCATTCTTCTCTACCTGACTACTTGAAATGCTTCTGCCACTACCACCTAACATCACTAAGACTTCAATGTGGCTCACCGTAGCCTCTTTTTTCCTCTTACTGTAACCTGAGCCTTCTCCCTAGGCTATCTTAACCTCACTCACTGTTTTAATTATCCTCTATGGACCAGGTTCTTGCAAATTTACATTTCATACTCAGTCCTGACATCTCCAGTTGGATAACTGGGCCAACTAAAGACAATTCAATTTAATTAATTCCAAACCAAATTCATACCATCTCCCATACTCCATCTCCTTCCAGTGAATGATATTTTGTTCTTTCCAGAACGAGCCACCAACTAAGCAAGTATCCCTAACAATTCCATCTCCTTTATTTTCCTTATCAATTCCATCTCTAAGTCCTATTTTTACTTTCCAGATATCTTTGGAATTGGCTTGCTTCTTTCTATGTCCATCAGAACTAACCTAGTCTTAGTCATTTCTGCATTTATTGTAAAGCTGGAAGTCTACTCTGGCCAGCCACTATTTTAGACAATAGGGAAGTGGGAATGAATGAAAGAGGCAATTCTTCATAAGGGAGCTAACAATGCAAAGAAAGAGACAGATCATATATAAATATGTACTATTATGCAGTGATAAGCATGCTGAGGGGAAGAAACCTGTGGGACATGAGGAATGAGTCATGCATGCATGCGGTCATCAGGAAAAAGAATGGGTATCAGACAGGAAAAGTAAGTGCAAAAAAAGAGATGAGAGCCAGGGTGATTAGAGTCCTTGCATAAAGGGCAGAGAACAAGTAGATGAAGGTCAAGAGGCTAGACCATTATAGGTCTCTAAAGGCCACAATGAAGATTCTTGATTGTACTCCATGGAATGGAATCCTCTAAAGGCTTTGAGCATGCAGCATTATGACATTATTTACTTTTTAAAAAGATCCTTTTGATAGCTACAAAGGAAAGAGAAGTTGATGGCAGCAGGGGGAGGTAGAGGGCCCATGTATGGGTCTTTGATGGAGGGCAGGGGGACAGCAACAGCACTAATTCATACATATTAAACAGGGCTGCAGAGTATTGTGACTCCACTGATACTGTATAAGAAGTCACTTTTTAAAACCATTGCATGCCACTTTGGTAGGGCTGCTGCTAATCTGTATAGCAGCTTGTGCAAATCAGGAAAAGATACCTTTCCTTCAGGCAGATGCTGCCCAGGCAAACCTCACTAGAGCATAGCAGGTAACACTCGAGGTGACCACCCTGCATTTCAGTCCATCTTAGATGGCTTCTTGCTTTGAGAGGACAAAAGAATTGGAAACAATGGGAAGAAAATATTATCTTTCACTGCATGGAATCTAATATTTTTACATTTGGGTGGGAACCAAACTTATGAGCTGTACAAACAAGTTTAACTCCATTATTCTTAGTACAACTATTCTAGAAAAGCACAACCTCAAATGATTATGCTTTTGGTTCATATTCTAAGCAAGAGACCCAAATCAGAGATGCAGACCCTTTGAGCCATATCCTCCTGTCTTTTAACTTAAACGTAGAAAGCCAGGGATGACACAGGTTGTTTTTCTCATAAGTTTTTTTTTTTTTTTTTGGGGGGGGGCGTTGTTCCTATTTATTAATAGTTCTGAATTGAAAAATAACTTTGTAAAAGTGCATTCTGAGGCTATTGGAGGTTCTAGGGAATCCTGCTCTCAGAGCATGAGCTTTTCTGTAACTGGTTTTTCAAGGGTTAGGATTTTGGTTCTGGCTGAAAGTTAATTATAACAGTAGGTACTTCCAAGAACATCCAGGTCCTTCAACTGTGCTCTTGGGGAGTGAGCTCCTTTTGGGAAGGGCTGTTCAGAGGACACCATAATCCAGGGACATGGGTGCCTCACCAGAGGTGTAACACATTCACACCACACATCAGCTCCCCTAGGACTACCACCTCATGTCTACCTTTCACCAAAAAGAGGAAGTCCACCCCATGGGGTAGAGGGTAACAGCACAGAAAATAGTTTTGATATCCTTCATTGTACTTAGTGATCACTCACAGCTTTCCTTCAAGGCTGTCTTCTGAAGCTGAGAAGGGGTGAGTTGAGAGGTGAGTGTCCAGCCTCTCTCTGGACAGCCCTGAATCTTGGTACTCAGTCTAATTTCACTCACACTTACCTTTCTCATGAAGGAGACTCACTCCTCCTTCAGAAGCTCCCAAGGCAGGTGATTTCTCCTAATCACAGGTTATGATTCTTTCTCCTCTTTCTCTGATCTTTCCCACCAGAGTCAGGCCTCATATAATAGCCAGATTGATGCCTCCTAACTCCAAAGTTTCCCTGCTATCTGAGCTCTCTGTTTATGTTGGGGTGGTTTCTGGCAGTTTCCAAAGAATTCATTTATTTCTCCAAAATGAGGGTTAAAAGATAGACAACTAGGGTTTCCATCTCAAAAACTGTCACCTTAATTGAGAAGTCCCCAGCATGGGCACTGTTGTACCAAGGCAGTCTGTCCTGTGCTCTTTCTTCCCTGGGCTGGGACATGGGAGGCTGTCTCTGACTGTCTGACTTATAGCCTCCTATGTGTCTCCTCTCTATGTTCTCAGGCTCCCTAAGTCAGTTGGAAACTGCTTCTGTGGAGGGTGAACCTGTGCAGCTCCAGGAAACTCACAACTCTTCAGCCCTTCCCAGGCTCTCCAATTCTCAGACCAAATCCTGTTACAGGGCTGGGGCTCAGCAGGATCTGTTTCCACTGCTGTCTTCTGCAGTTTCTTCTACTCTTCTTGCTTGAACTGACCTTTCTCCAGACTTTCCCTGACACCACTTCCTATGCCTCCACAAACTCAGATCCCCAGCCTTTCTTGGATGACAATCACCTCTTCTGTTTCTTTCTTCTGATAATTTAACCTCAGGTTTGTTCACAAAGTCCTTTCTCTCTTAACCATCTCTCAAATGTTGGTTTCCTAGGATTCTGTTTTCTGCTCTGTTCCTTTACTTGGTCAACTCAAGGTGGCAATTACCCCTTTGAACTGAGGGTTCCTTGACCTCTACTTGGAGTGCCAACCAGTCTGTCTCCCTTACACAACTGCCCATCTGTAACCTCTACCCATGTACGTTACTCACATCTCAAATGAAAACCATTCCACACTGAATTCCTCAGACTCCCTTATCAAGCTGGCTCTTCCTCTGTCCCCTGATCCTCACAGCAGGTGCCTCTAGTCCAGGCCCACTGGCTTCCTGCCTGAATTCCCATGAATTCTGTGAGGCTTCCAACTCTAGTTTTGCCTCACTTCAATAATGCCTCCTAAGAGACCATTCTTATTAACTTCTAATTAAGAGAACTTCGTGAACATATTCTCTTTGTGAAAATTAAAACATTACATGGACACAAAGTCCCCTTTTATTAGATTCATTCCAAGAGTAATTGCTGTTACCAGTTAAGGTGTGTCCTTGTAACTCTGTGTGTTTTCCAAACCTTCCTCTCAGTGCTTATTTGCATATTTCACAAACACCTAATATTCTTTAAATATAAATAGTAACATATGATGATATTTTGTAACTTGCTTTATTCCTTGATGTGCCTTGCAGCTCCATCTACATTAGGGTGTTCTTTCTTTCTAAACTGTGGCAACCTTTGCCAGAGTAAGGACACATCATTGTTTCTTTAGCCATTCCTTTATTAAGGAACATTTGTTTCTGATTCAGACCAATTTTTCTAAAATATCAGGGGTAAAAAAGTTCTTCTGCTTAAATTCTTCAAATATTTCTGGTCATCCATGGAACAGTTCAAATCTTTTAGAACCGTACCAAAGCACTTACAGTGTGGCCCTTAGACAGCCTCCCATCTCATTGTCTTCCTTGTCTCTTTCATACCTGCAGCTTCAGCTAGAATGAATTATTTATAATCCCTTAAATTACACTGTTTGTTGAATGAATACATAAAATGCAGCCCTTTTCAGAAATAACAGGAAAGAATAAAAAGAGCTCTAGAGAGATTCATTTTGTGAAGTGATTATGAGCAAAGAAGCAGAAGCTCATGTCTAGGGGCCTGGGCTTTCCCTTCCCCATCAACTTCTTGAGGCCTGAGAACCCTAAAGGAAGTTTCCCAATTAACACACTACAAGCTGCACCTTCCTCTGAACCAGACTAATACCTGCAGCGATTCCTCTCTGTGCTTATTTGCATGTTTCACAAACACATAATATTCTTTAAACATAAATAGTAACATATGGTAATATTTTGTGCCACCCACTCACCAAGAGAGGTGCCTCCAGGGTTTTCTTTCTCTACCTTCCAGGGATCTTCTCCCTCCTGCAACAGGGAGATCACCTTTGGTTTGATAAATGGGAGTCCTCCTAATAGAAAATAATTAAAATTTAAAAAAACTCAGAAAAACACAAAACGAAGATCAATCTGTTACAGAGATTACATGTGGCCCACAAAGCCTATACTACCTGGTCTTTTATAAAGTTTGCTGACCCCTAGAAAAAACAAATGGGAAAGGCAAGTGGAAGGTCCAGAGGTTGGATGAAGCCTTCTGCCAAGAGTTGCACACACCACAGAACAATCACAGTGGGAAAATGATACCTGAACTATGAAGAAACTTCTAATGTGTAATTACATAGAAGGAAGGTGATGGTTACCAAGACCACCTCCTCCATTCCTAAACACAGGGCAATTCTATACCTGTAAGAGGAACATGTTCACAATATTTATTTACAAAGATATGATTTGTATAATCATAAGGCAAACCTCAGCTAAACTTTTTTGATGACCAACAGCTTTTATTCAGGGAAGTAGGTACTGAAATCTAATTTCTGAACTGTGTCCAGAGGGGATTTCCTTACCCAGTGAGGCCAGGTTACTATAGTTCTCCAGCATCACTTCCCAGTACAAGCTTCTCTGGGAAGGATCCAGCTTTTTCCACTCATCCCGAGTAAAGAGCACAGCCACATCCTCGAAAGTCACTGATACCTGTAAGAACAAGCCATTCCAGCTCTCCCAGGACCAGTCCTCACACAGCATATAGATGGAGAAAATGGAGAAGGACAGGCTACCATGAAATCCTGTTTATACTATTTAAGGTTCTCGAGGTGCCAGGTCTTTTATTTAATGAATATTCATCCAGTGAGAAAAACACACCCAACAGAAAGAATTATGAATGTAGCTGCTATATCTTGGGATCTTGAGCGACCCCCAAAGGCCCAGGTGTTAAAGGCTTGGTTCCCAGCCCAAGATGCTTTTGGGAGGTGGTGGAAACTTTAAGAGTTGTGGCCTAGTGAAAGAGAGTTAGGCCAATAGGGTGAGCTCTTGTAGGGGATTTGGGACCTTGGCCCCTTTTTATTTCTCTCTCTCCATGTTCCAACAGACATGATGTGAGCAGCTTCCTCTGCTATGCACTTCTGGTCATGAAGTAATGTTCTACCACAGGCCCAAAATGACAGGCTTAAGTAACCATGGGCTGAACCTCTGAAACCATGAGCCTAAATAAACATTTCCTCCTTACAAGCTTATTACCTTGGTATTTTGTAACATCAATGGAAAGCTGACTAACACACTGGCCTTGTGTTAACCACTACAAAAGATGTGTAAAGGGATTAAGGCCATTAGTGGGAGTGTTAATTAGAACGATCTGACAGATTTGATAATACGTATTACAAAGCCCGGGAATGTTTATATTCTTAACTTACCAATGATTGTATTTGTACTATAATGAACAGTACACAAAATTGCACATACAAGAAAACTTATCATGGTGTTTGCAGTAGCAAAAAATGGAAAAAACCTAAATATTCATTGATGAAGACTAGGTTAAATAACTTAAGACAGGCAATGTCTGCTTATTTGAATTGAAGATAGTAATTACAAAAATTAAAATAGCTGTCAGTTATTGAATGCTTTCTATGGGCAAAGTACTGCTCTTAAAGCTTTATGTTAATCTTTTATGTATAATCTATTTAATCTTCACCACAACTTAAGAAGGTAATATCATTGTCCCTATTCTACCAAAAAAAAAAAAAAAGTACGAAAAGGATAAGAAATCTGTCCTTAAAAAGTCACACAGCTGGTCAGTGATAGAAATGGAATTCCAAACCCAGTGGTTGTCCTAGACTCCATTCCTAGTCAATCTGTACATCTGCTTCTCAACGCCTACCTCATAGGGTTAGGAAATATATAAATGAGATAATCTATATAAGAAGCTGAATTTCTTTGAAGAAGCCACATCTATATTTTGAATTAATTTTTATTGGTGCATTATAATTATACATAATAATCAAATTTATTGTGACATAGTTGTACATGCATATAACATAAATCAGTCAGTTTTATTCCCCAGTGCCATCTATATTAAAGATCAAGCAGACTGACCTCAGCTGAGAACATCCTGATTATGGAGAGATGGCAAGTTGCAGGTTGAGAGTCAAAATTAGCTTGGGCTACATTATGGCCTTAGAAAAAGAGTCATTTACTTAAACTTTTGTATCTCACCTAACATTCTCCTAGGTAAACCTCTTAAAATGTATTAACGGCTTAACAGACCTCTAGTCTCCACCAACCCTAAAGCTAAGAAGGCTGCAACAGTCAATACCTATAGGAAAAACTTTCCCTTTCTGCTACAGCTCACCTACCTACTGGCCTCACCAACATATTTCTTAAAAATATTGATTCATGACTTTTGTTCTTTGGCTATAAGTTCAGGTAATCTCTTCCACAGCAGAAGAAGTCATTCAGGCAACTTGAATCCATGTTTCTGTGCCACTCATACTTGGTTCAGAGTAAGTTATCTTATTTTCTTTAAAGTCAAGTTATTGTTTTATGTTATCATTTACAATGGAGATGGATAGTGATGATGGTTCCTTAACAATGTGAATGTATTATATATGGTTCCTTAACAATGTGAATGTATTATTGTAAAATGTCACTGAATTATACACTCAAAAATGATTAAAATTATACAGTATGTACATTTTAGAATAAAAATTTAAGATAAAATACATATACATATGCACATAGATAAATGGACATATAAAATGATTTTTATGGATACACACCAAAGGGCTGTCAACGGTTATCTCTAGATGCAGAAGCAAATGACTCTTCACTTTCTTTTTTAAAATGTGATATCATGAAATATACACTTGGTCTTCATTCCATTTCTTGACATGGAGCTCCTAAAATCCACAGAATCTTCAAAAGTGATGAATGACAAGTGACTTTTTGTATGCTAAGAAC